CTTACGAGGAAATGTTTTCCACGGCTTTACGAGGAAATCTTTCCTCGTAAATTAGCTAGGCCTTTACGAGGAAAATAGCCTTTACGATGAACGTCTTTCGACGAAACACGTTTCCTCGCTATTTCCTAGTAAAGGGCCCTTTACTAGGAAATAACGAGGAAAACCCGTCCTAGTAAAGGACGTGTTTTCTTGTAGTGGTAGCACATATTAAAACAGAAGAGAGACGTCTTGTTTCCTCTCATAATTAGTGTTTATCGTGAGAAGCATGTTTAGTCTTAGGCTTCTTAACAATCATAACAGAGCAATGAGCATGATGAGCTAAATAGTCACTCACGCTTCCCAAAAACACCCTCTTGACAGCTCCATAACCATGACTCCCAAGAACAAGAACAGATGCATGGTGTCTCTCCGCTGCTTCCAACATTATGTTCCTAGGATCTCCTTCTATAACCTCCAACGAAGTTATCTCAACAGATTTACCCGAACACACTTCAGTACACTTCTTCTTGACCAGCTCCGCAGTCTTGTCTAAATCTTGTTCCACAAGAGGTATTATATCGACCGTTCCTGGTCCGGCAAAGCCTAGGACGGAGGTTGCGGTGAGTCTTGCGTGGACCACGACGAGTTTGAATTGTGGGTTTGATTTGAAAGGTGTGAAGAAGAGGTCGAGAGCTGACTCTAGTGCGTGGTAGCTGTGAGATGAATCATCGACTCCTACGACTACCACACGTTCACTTCCACTAGCCATTTTTATCTTCTTTTTTTTTTTTATGATCATGAATTAAGGGAAGGTGTTATCTATTTGAATGATTAGGTGGGTAGCTATGGTGTGGTCGAGCGTTGTTATTGGGATCTATACTCACGCGAGACCTCTTGTTCCAACTAATAGGGATGGGCATTTTATCCGTTATATTTGTTTCGATCAGTTATTCGTTTCGATTCGATCCGAAAATTCCGGATATCCGTAAACGTTCGAATCAAAGCAAATACTAAAATTCAATATCCATTAAAATCGAAGCAAATCACAAATATTAAAATTTTGGAAAGCGGATATCCGATCCGATCCGTAAATATATAAATATATGTATATTTTGATTATATTTAAAATTTTAATTGTATAAAATTATATAATTATTATTTTAGCACATGATTTTGAACAATTCTATTCAAATTATTACTTATATAAAAGTATTACATAAAAAGAGNAAATTCACTAGTTCTTTTAAGTTTTATTTTATATATCATGCAAAAAATATTTTTGCAAAGCAAATTTGTATCAAAATCTTAAGATTATTTGTACTAATTAAAATGGATGAGATATCCGTAAATATTCGTAAATATCCGCAAATATCTATTTATTTTCCGGATATCCGTTTTTCCGGATATCCGTATTTTTTCGAAGCAAGCAAATACCAAAATTAGATATCCGTAACATTCGAAGCAAATCACAAATACCTTAAAAAACCCGGATATCCGATCCGTGCCCACCCCTACCAACTAAGACGGGTCTTGTTTTAATAGTGTGTGTTTTCTGTTAACGAACACTTTAAATAGGCACTAGAGTTGTTAACGAACACTCGTGCATCAGCTAAAACCATCATTGTTAACAAACTGCTTTGAAGTCGGATCTTCATTTTCTTCTGATTCATTAAGTAAATCCCACAAATTTTGGTCTAAAAACAAAAGACATAATTAGCCTAGTCACATTACATATATATATATATTTAAAAATTATAATGGTATATCAAAAATCTTGTAATATCCTACATAAAGCAATGTTAGTTTCAAAGTATACATTTCTCTTATAGGGACCAAACGATACACCCATTGATTTTTGCCTATACGGGCAACATATAAAACTGAACCACTGAATTTCATATATAACCGGGTAATGAGCATATTTGGCACTTATTGTCGGATATAACTGACAACTTTGTCCATGAGATCGAAATAAAATAACCTCATGAAAGAACCTAAGTTTCATGACCACCATTAATAACCAATCAGGAACCATTTGATATAGCACATGACACACTTGTATTCGATAATGTAACCTGAAAGTCAGAGTGTGTGGTGATCGTTGGCGGCCCTGAGGGAAAGGATTACAAACACATGCTTCCAGTCCACAAAAGAAAAACTTGCACAAATCAGCCTTTTTAAGAAAAAATTATCTACAAAATTTATAAAAGTGGTAGATATTTTAAAATTTGCTTATGGTCTTTTTTTTTTTTTATGTTAAGACCGGTACTGATGGTTATATGGTTATAAACCATTAAAAAAAACAATGGTAAAGAGTACCGGCTTCCCCTGCATCTACACCTTTTCAGTAGAGTAGATGAGATGTTCCAGAGGAAATGCCAAAACATAAAAAAAGGAAAGGCCATAAGTTCATAACCTAGTAGATAAAAACCTCAAACTCAATTGCCACCCTCCTTTCATACCGTATGCTAAATTTAGCTTAAGCTAACTCAGTGATATAACTTATTGGGTGAAGTATTCTTTTTAACCCTAAAGCTTTATAATAATCAGTATACTACTGATGCATGTTTTCCAATTATATTGGTCTTTTTGGTTCAATTAATTAATTATCATAATCATGAATATTTGAGACATTCCAATCCAAATACAAGTACACAACGAACATGATCAAGTTTATTTATTAATTTTAATATACAAGTGGTTATCCAAATTGCGATAGTGAACTGAATCTAATTCCTGAATGAATCCATAAAAAACATTTTAAATGGAGAGTTCTTGACGTAAAATTCCCAAATTAAATTTATAGTAATATATAAAAATATTAAAATTAGTTTCCAAATTAAATTTCTAGTAATATATAAAAATATTAAAATTAGTTTCCAAATTAAATTTCTAGTAATATATAAAAATAGTAAAATTAGTTTTGATTATTTCAAAAATCATTATTAAAAAAAGCATTTCTATTTTGATATAAAATTTTCTTTATTTTAATATATTAATTTATAATTTATATTGTATATTCTAAGTATTTGATTTTATACTTTATAAAGGGGCCATATATGATAATTTTTTTTGGTAAAATCATATATGATAATTTATTCGATAAAGGGATATTTGTGGAAAAACACAAGATATTTAGGGATCAGACGATAAAACCCCAAAAGTGAAGCGAGTTCTGCGGTTTTATTTTAGTGTCAACGTTCAGTTTCTGAGTTCATTCGTCGTCAATGTTTCTGAGAAAATGAGCTGAGAAAATCGAAGCGAAAATAGAGAAGCAGCTACCATGGCAATGTCCGAATCATCATCTTACAGAGTATGTGAAGACGTTTTTAAAAAATTACTCCAATTGTAATTGGGTAAAATTTGAAAGTGATCGCCTTTTTTCTCAGTAACTAAAGTTACAGTTAGTTGAGATTTTTTTTTACTTATTGCACACAAGTTGTTCGGTAAAATCTCTGAGAGGCTTTTTTCTAAATTGCAATTACTTCATTCATATAAAAGCCCCCAATAACTAGAAGACGCACGACTCCGTCATGTAATTCTCTCGGGCGACGTTACCGAGGCTCCCTCTGTTTTGAAATTTTGAATCGCTCAATCTCCTCCTCTGCGCTCATTTGCCGGCGATATCCCATGGTGTAAAGCTTCGGAACTCCGCATCTGTGCTTTCTCAAGGTGGAATTGCTCATCCTTGATCTCGATCTGGTTTTTCATCAAACAAAGAAGGGTAGAAGACCTTTCTTCTCAAGATCTGGGTATCTTGGTTGAAAGGATGAAGAAATATAACTGCTCCTCTTCGCCGTTTAAGACTATCAAGACCGCCTCCGTCGCCTCTTCCTGAACCTTAGCTCTAGCCTGTGCTATCTCCTCCACTCCGTGAGGCTTACAAAGACGTGCGCTTGAGCTCTAGCCTCCTTTAAGGTTTAAAAGTCTTCGCTAGAGATCTCAGCCTCAAGCCTCCTCCACGAAAGACCCAAAACCTCCTTTCCAAAAAGTAAAGGCACAAATAAACAAGCATAATTTCAGAATAGTTGCAGATCCCAAAATCCTAAGAGAGATCTAGGCTACCGGAAAGTTTCAGCCTTGCATCGTCCTCCCCTGATATAGGGTGTTTGACAATGATGCAAGTGCAATCAGCCCCTAACTTCTAATCTAGTGCTAAGATTTTTGTTGAAAAATCCACAACATAATTTGGGGATCCGATTTGTGAACGTGTCAACGGACGACATCAAATTTCTTATTCTTGTTGTGCTTTGCTACGACTGTGCCAGCAAAGAGTGTCTGATAAACTTCACAAGACCATACCGCCGGCGAGGTTTTTATCTTTGACGGCAAACACCTTCGGTGTTTTGTTGGAAGAGAACAAAATTTTGCATTGGGCTTTTCTACAGTGTTTTCTGGTTTTGCTGGCCCATGTACTAGCTGTATCCTGATAAAAATTGAAGCTCCACTTGTTAATTTTTGCGTGTGTTGGGCTTGTAGAATTCAGCCACATATAATAAGCAGTTAGTTCTGATTCATTACATTAGTTTTTGACTGGTGTTAATGTGTTCAGTATACATATGCATTAAAAAAAAAAAAAAAAAATCTCTAATTTTGTAAAATGAATACGGTGGCATGGAACTGTCGAGGTGTGGGAGCCAATTTGACCAAAGAACATCTTGATGAGTTATATCACTGTTTTCGACCAAAATTTTTATTTTTGTCAGAAACAAAAAACAATCGTCATGTTCTACAAAATTTGCAAGTTTGTTATGGTTATGATCAAGTGTATACCGTTGAGCCTCGTGGACGAAGCGGCGGCCTAGCACTTTTTTATATGGATGATCCTTCTGTTACTATCTTGTATGCAGATGAGCACATGATTGATATTGAAACAAGATTAGAAGGACATGCGATTTTTATGACGTTTGTGTACGGTGATCCTGTTGTTAGACATCGAGACCTAGTTTGGGAACGATTGTCACGCATGAGTACAAATCGAGGTGGAGCGTGGTTTATGATTGGAGATTTTAATGAAATCACTGGAAATCATGAAAAGAGGGGAGGAAGACGTCGCTTAGAGAGCTCTTTCCTCCCTTTCCGTATCATGTTGGAAAATTGTGGAATGCTTGACTTCCCATATAAAGGAAACTCTTTCTCGTGGGTGGGAAAAAGACAAAATGGAAAAGTTAAATGCAAACTTGATAGAGCAGTGGCAAATGAGGAATGGCACGACTTGTTTAACCATAGTATTGTGGAATATTTACAGCTATGGGGGTCGGACCATAGACCAGTCCTTACAAGGATTCAATCATCCTCCCGATGTACCAAAAAGAAGAATTTTAGATTTGACAAGAGGTGGATAGGCAAACCCGGGTTTAAGGAAGCGGTAACTTCGGGATGGGGACAATTTGATGACACTCCAGTCCGGAGTTTTCATCAAAAAGTTACCTCATGTCGAAACAAGATCAGTACTTGGAAAAAAAACAATCCAACAAACTCAGCGGTCTTGATTGAAGATTTAAAAAACAGGATTGATTTGGCCCAAGATGATGAAAATTCCACGACCGAGGAACTAGAAGAATTGAGGCGACAGTTGATAATGGCGTTTAAAGAAGAAAATACTTTCTGGGAACAAAAGAGTAGAGATCAATGGCATAAATATGGGGACAGAAACACAAAATTTCACCATGCCACTACAAAACAACGCCGAGCACAGAATCGAATCATAAGTATTAAAGACAAACATGGGAGGTTGGTAGAGAGTGAAATCGAGGTGGAGACTGTTGC